TTTTTTTTCAGACATTATTGCCCCTGCATTTGGGATTTGGACATTACATGATCATAGTAGAAAGTAATTACATGAGGTAATAATCTTTGGTAAATAGTAATTTCTTCATTTTTATGCAAGATCTGTGGACAGTTTTTACCTTCTACTAGGATTTTTTTTTGTCAGCAACTGAGGAGGGCAGTGGCTCATAGGCATATGAGAGGCATAATATGATCAGAGTATTGATAGACTGTTATCCACAGTTACTGCTTAAACAAAAATGTCATTGCTGTGTCTGATGGGATGTGACAGGTCTTTATACTACAGTTGGTAGTATTCTGCTTTAAATTTTAAATTTCACTCAGTCTTTTAGAAGCTTATAATTACATGCCCTTTCACTAATATTAATAATATGTTTGTCCTTTTAAGACTAATGAAGAAAATACATCCTGCGAAGAGTAAAAGTACTTGATTCTGGGAAGACTCTTAAAGCACCTCTAACTTCAAAGCTGGAGAAAAGTATGAAGGAACAGTTCATCTGACTCCCTCGGCATCTCACACAAAATGGCTCTTCAGAAAAAAACTCTTGCTGGTGTCTTGGAGGAATGGTGTTTGGAAGAACCACTGTTTGGTTGCAGACGGCACCAGAATGTTTGGAAAAAACTGAGACTGATACGAATCGTAGGGCTTCTTGTTAGTGTAGTGGCCATTAGTACTTTCTCACTTTCAATGAGTGCCTTTTTCAAGATGGAACCACATAGCATGGCACTGGTCAGCAGCCTAGATAGCCAAAAGCTGGTGCGTGGGCACCAAAGAACTCTGTTGGATTTCACTGAACAGAATCAAAATGGCACTCTAGACCCACATGCTTCTATGAAATATGAAGCTGGGCATGACAATGAAACAGATGATCATTCAAAGGGAGAGTATCCCACAGACCTTTTCTCTCTTGAGGAGAGAAGACAGGGAGCAGTGATCCTGCATATAATTGGAATGATTTACATGTTTATAGCCTTAGCTATAGTCTGTGATGAGTTCTTTGTTCCTTCCTTGACTGTCATCACTGAAAAACTGGCCATTTCTGATGATGTGGCAGGGGCAACCTTCATGGCTGCTGGTGGGTCAGCCCCAGAACTCTTCACTTCTTTAATAGGAGTGTTTATATCCCACAGCAATGTTGGCATTGGTACAATAGTGGGATCTGCCGTGTTCAATATCCTATTTGTTATTGGAATGTGTGCTTTATTTTCTAAAGAGATCTTGAACCTTACATGGTGGCCACTCTTTCGAGATATGTCCTTTTACATCATTGACTTGATCTTGCTAATCATCTTTTTTCTGGATAACTTCATAATGTGGTGGGAAAGCGTTACACTCCTGACAGCATATTTTTTCTATGTGACTTTCATGAAGTTCAATGTTCAAGTAGAAGAATGGGTGAAGAAATTTTTAAACAGGAACAAGGTTGAGAAGGTAACTACAGATGCTGAAGGAAAGGTTGGTCAATTTTTATTGAATTATATGTAATAATGTCCTTGTAAGTGCTGAGCCCTTTGATATCATAAGGATCCTAATATAGTACAGTAACCAATATAGTACAGTAACCAATATGAAATAGTTCCATGTTTCGCTCAAATGTCTTTTTGTTTAGTCAAAACTGACTGAAAATAAAGAACAAGAGTAGCCTTCTAGTGAATCATTTTAGCTTCAGAATTATCCCGATCACACAGAAAGAAAGAAAAAAAAAGCCAGCAAAAAGACACAAACCTTTACTCAGCAGTTTGGCACATTGGTGAGGTCTGAAATATAACTACTATTTTTTTCCCTAAGCTTTTGGATAAAGCAGTAACAATATCTGGAGAGAATCTTGTGACAAAATTTGGGTTTTTAAAGACTTTTAATACACTTTCTTACTCAAAACCCCCCAAATTACTCAGAACAGTATACGAAGGTATTTTTAAATGCATTTTTCATCTACTGATGCTGATATTAAAATAATAACTTCCTGCTGTAATTAGTGGCAATTACATGAAAGAAATCTCTCGAAAAACAGTGACCACAATGGCAAAACTCATAGGTCCTCTGTTTAAGGAGGATGTTTCCCATTTATGGTATTCCAACTATGCAAACTAATTTTTGACCTCAAGTAGAGAATGAAAGTTATGCACAGAGGGCTTGGTGGGTCTTCAGCAAATATTATAATCTTTTAACCAGCTCTCTTTTTAGAGCAGGCAATATTTAAGGGACCTATGAAGCTGAAGTCATAAATACATATATATGTAGTAGTATTTTAATTGGATGCTTAATTCTGAAATTGAATTGCCTGGTTTTATATGACATTGGGGTTATTCATCAGATAAGATTGTATTATGCAGTAATTACTCAAAGTATCAGGCAGTTAGCTGTTCACTGTTTTGTTTCTTTTGTTTAACAGTCCTGTATGAAGGGTTTGGAAGAGACACAATCCACTGATATAAATGCACAAGCATATAAACAGACCACATATAACTATAGAGAAGACCACTCGTTTGTGACTCATGGAAGCCTACTTTTGAAGAGAGAGCTGGATATTTTAGCAGTTATGACAGGTGCATTCAGTTTTAGGGCAAGACACAAAACTAGTCCACCAAAATTAAAATCCAGAAATTCTCATTTATTTATTTTATTTTCTAATTGGGCTTAACAGCTGTACACTTACTTGTAACTTTATTTTTTTCACTTTTGTTCTGTTTTTTTTTTTTTTCCAAAAATTAGCATACTCATCTTTATCTTTCTCAAAATGCTCAATTGGGATTTTATAAGTAAATGAAAAGAAAGGTCAACAGCAACAAAGTACTTGCTCTAATTAATGAAGGACTTCTTTAATTATGTTAGTTGGTTTCTAAGTAATGTAAGATTTCACAGTGCATTGTAAGTATTTGACAGTTTGTGCTAAATGTGTGTAATACTAGGAAGACTATGGTATATGAAGCAACCATTTAATGCACAACTGCCCATAAACTGGACAGAAAATGTAAATCTATAACTGGTCTTAAACAATTAGCAATATGAAAAGCAACTGCCTCATGTTGTTCAGGCTATAGGGTGAGGTAAAGTAGCTATATACCAAAGTAAATGCTCAATTATGAACAGAAGAATAAATCATTTGCAAGCCATTTTCAACATTATTTATATTTGAAGTACTCTAGATGGATTTGATTTTTAAAGATACCTTTAGGACCACTCATTGTTTCATATTTTAATTACTTAGAGTTTGTTCATAATATAGGTACACAATTTCAGATAGGGATGAAAAAAATCAGAAAACTGGCTACTTTTCCTAAAAACACAGGCTTTGCGTTGTATGTTTCATGAAAATGTTTTTCCTGAATTATCTTGAAGCTAATTAAAATGATAAAATAATGTATTCACAAATCACTTAGGGGTAAAGGGAGATAAAAGATGCTCTAATTTTATTGCAATTTAGCTAATAAATGTTTTCTACTTCCTGGTGAAAACAGCTTCTGAAGGTGTCAGACCATGGTTTTCCTCTTTAAGTCATGCTGTAAAGACATATTTTTGAATATTCCATTGGCACTTTGAAATTATAAGTCATTATGAATTATTTTATTATTCGGTGGAACAGCATTTAGCAAGATGAATGAACTCATGATTTTCTCATAGCAAGAATTATGTTACAGATTATGTTCTTTGGAAAGAATCCCTGTGAAGTTCTGTGTTCATTTATTTACTATTATTAGACAATTGTTTTTCTTGCTTTTAAATTAAAAACAAACAAACAAAACAAAAGAAAAAAAAACAAAAACACAAGGAAAAAACCCTATCCTAGGCCTGATAGAGATGTCTAGGTTTTTTAGCTTAAAAGTTACTGCCTAAAGCAAAGGATAAAATCTTTTTATAGTCTGAGATCTGGTGCCTAGTACCAAATGCAATACACGTGTGTTTATTTCCTAAACACTGGGGGTTTTAAGTATCATGGAAGTGATACTCTTGGCTATTGGTGGCAAAGGATGCTTAATTTCTACAGTGTTAGCTGTTAGTTTAGATTGTTCCAAGTCATCAAGATTGTGATTTGTCAATGCAATATAAAATTGTATATAATCAAGTTGGTATACTAAACACATAATTTGCACTCTCAGGGGCTTTCTCATAGAAGCTTTTTCATTCTCTTTTCCCCAGTTAGGGCAGAGAATTGCTAGGCAGCTCTCTGAAACTGGTGGGTTAGTGTGTCTTGGAATAATTTTATTTCAGGAGAGTGTAGAAAATTCTCTTTCCTCTAACCAACGCTCCCTCTGCCTATCTGTTGTTGATTCTGCTGCTGCCAAACTGGCAAGTGTTCTGCTAAAAAAACTTGTGTGTCGTATTTATCTTTAAGACTGTTGTAATCTGAAAGCAGCTCAAGAAATTTGAGAAGTCTAAATAAGGCATCATAAAGCTGGATAGTTGAAGGGTTAGGTTGCTTATTAGCAAGCAAGTATCAAAGAGTAAAAATCTGATCAGATAAAAAACCTCTTGAGATACTAAAATGTGTTTTAATGTTGAGTATTTTTATTATCAGTTGTCTTGAAGGGTTGAAGAAAGTTTTACATTCTCAAGGACAGTATTTCCCGTGAGAAAAGGTCTTAGATATGAATGATTTTTCTACTTAGCTTTCACCTGCTCTAGATGTATTCATGAGGTTGCTCGAATGTACGTGTATCTCTATAGATGCCTTTCAGATTCCTTTCCCATTTTTAAGAATTAAAGCACTTTTTTTTTTTTACTAGAAAAGTGTTACTATTTGAACTTAGCTAGTTTTTCTGATCTTATTTTCTTTAGTATGTTGGTTACTTCTAGACAGAGTACTCTATATGAATTTCATTGTACTCACTATTTTCCTTCACAAGCTTTCAAACAAATACAGTCTGGACTATTAAAGGGTCCATGCTGAGAAAATCTGGTAACTTGAATTTTCTGAACAATTTTGTGGCACCGATGAGAACAGACTACAAGCTTTATGCATTTAGAATTCATAGGGTGTATTGGCAAGATCCTGTTTGAACTGTGGAGAGTTGAAGTGTGGAGAGCCCCATGTAACCGTCAAGGAAGCCTGATACTGAGGAATGCCAGAGATCACTGTGAAAAGGATGAAAAAAAAGGAGAATAGATGAAAAAGTGAGACAACATGAAAAGACAAAAAGCAGATTGTTTTTAAGTTGTACAATGTAGGATGGCATATGGCATATGCAGATCAAGATGGGTCCCTGACAAGAGACACTGAGCCCTATGAGCTGCTCTGAATGTGCCGTACAGTAGGTAGTATGATCCCACCATCAGATATACCCACAAGATCCTTCCAGCCTAACTTATTCTGTGGCATGATTTTTAGGTTTTATGTAGCTATCCTGCAAAGATGATTTTTTAGGACTGAGGTAGAAACTTTTAAATTAATTTTACATCTTCCTCAGCTGAATGAAGATGTTTAAAAACAGAAGCCTGAAATCGAGTATGACAGACTGGAAGAGGAAAATGGGAAAAGCTGATGTTCAAAGTTCTTAAAAATTAGACTTTTTTGACCCTCTGCTAAGGTTTCGGCCTTTTCTTGTTATCTGTCCTGGTGAAGATACATTGAATATATTATGTTGCAGTAAAACATCATGTGAAACTACATTTCAGTTGTTAAGTACTTTCTTTAATGTAGCATGGAGATCACTGCAGAAATGCTTGAATCTGATGATTCAGGAAATAACTCACAACAGTTCTGTTTGGCAGCTAGAAGAACAGAATGTGGGTGGCACAAGGATATTGTGCAATGACATCTGTTTCACTGACAGTAGCATTTTAGATAAATAGCTTATGGTATAGTTAAGACAGTTTTTCTACATTTATGGAGAACTACATTTGTAAAATGAGCTTTTTTTACCAACAAGGCATAGTTAATATTTTATTGCCAATTTTGTTGTCTTAAAAGACTTGAATAGCTTGTGTGTGATATTTTAAGATCCACATTGATCTCAAGTGTTGCCACTTTGCATTTGATGGCAGTGTTTGCATTCTAAAGGAACGGTTGTTAACAGTATTTTTAGGTACTTCTCTGCTTAGTGGCTGTATTAACTCTACATATGCACAGTCACTATTATAATGTATGATCTAATATGTGTCTGTTACAGGGAAAATATGAATTATCTGCATGCATATAGGAAAAACTGAAACTCCTGAACCGTTCTTTTTCAGGGCTTCTTAATGTTGAATCCACAGTAACTGTAACTCTATCTATACAATAAGTTTTCTTCCCTCACTACCAACAAAAGATTTTTTTTCATAGTTTTCATAGTTCATAGTGTTTCATGTTCTTAGGGAGATCAGAGTTTTATTCTACAGACATTTCACAGTTGGTCTACTTGTGCAAGTGTGTGTGTGAATATAGAGCTATGAAAGCTGGATCTTGCAAGATAGCTACATTGTTTAAAATACATGTTTGGAATGTGAGCATCATCACTGTCATTGTCCATCTTTTGCTTTGATAGAAGTCTGGTTTTGTGTCACATTTTATCTGTTTTTATTATATAAAAAATTTTTAAGCTACTTCTGTGTTAACTTAATGTTACTCTAGTAGCAGTAATTGTTAGTTTGCCTTGGGTTTTTATGATTGCTGTTTCAGTTTAGGGCTATAAACTGACATAACCAAAGGCTGGCACTTATATATGCAACTGTTAGTACAGTGAAATGGATACTATTCTCTGTTTATTTTAGCAACTCTCAGTAATTTGTTGACTACAAAACAATGATTATTCTGCTGAATCTCTTGTTTTGTACATTTGAACCCTGGTAATGAACAAAAGTGACAGCAGACAAACGTAGTGTAGATTAAATGCTCTTAAATCATGGGCATCCACTAAGATTCGTTAGTCAGCCCTTATTAATTATGCTGGGAAAAAGAAAGCTAAAACTGTGCCACCTTTAATTAATAGCAAAGGGAAAACATACTCATCAATATATTAGAAAAATAAAGAGCATATGTAATTAAAAAGAAGTCAGATGATATTTCTTAGAGACTGCACAAAACCAGCTGTGTTGGCAATTGTTCGCCATGCTGTATTTCAGAACTGCAGATGTGATTGAATTTGTTGTGCCAGAAGCTGTACAAGGAGAGGAATATGAAGTCCCAAAGTCTTGAGAGTTTATAAATGTTTTTCCGTACTTTAGTCCAGATTGTCAACAGAATGTGGGAGCTACAGAAGACTGTAGGTGGAATTTCAATCCCCAAATCAATATACCAGACCTCAAAATATCTACCTGATTTGGGGTGCTTAATCTCTGAAGGAGCTTTACTTTAAAACAGAGAAAAACAGAGAAGATGTTCAGATGCCATTGTTTTGCTTCCAGGCTTGTTCAGAAATGCCAGACCTAGGTACAGCAGCATAGTACATCTGCTTTTCCATCTGACCCATATTCCTCTACTTTTTCCCCCAGTAGTTCTCCAGATTTACCTCACAAATAAAAGTTTAACAAAATCCAGTGGCTTTTACAAGTTCTTCAGATTTTGGTGATGAGAGGGCTCCACTTCTGTGCCATTACATACAGATCTCCCACATTCATTGCTCATTTTCAGTGGAGCTGCACTCATTATATTTTGAGTGGTAAGGCACAGCTGACTCCCCTATTTTTCTTACCTTGTTTTGAATGGCCGTAGTGAGCCTTCCACAACATGTGTTTTAAAGTGTGTGTATGGGATGGGAGTGGTGGAAGCTGCCCTACAGCAGTGCTTGTTGCGGTGTTGAGGGTGCCACACTTAAGAGTGATGCTCTGGGCACTGCTGACTTTGGGGTGACCTTGGCCTTTCTGAGTGGTGACACTCCCCAGGCAGCCAAACAGCTCACTGCCAGGGCCACAGGACAAAAAAATTAGATTCGATGAAGTGCTTCTTCCCTGATGATGATCTGGGGTTTTTTTGGTTTTATTAGCAAGAGTCAGTTTTCCACTGCCAACTGCAGAGGTGAGAAAAGAGATTCTTTTTTGTCCTTTCTCCTCTGATTTTTTTCCCCCAAGAATTAATGGATTTTGCTTTTGCAACTGTAGAATAAGATTATAGCCAATTCAATTTTTTTACTGCATAATGGATATTATGTTCAGGCTGAAGAAAGTCCTACAACAAAAGAGATGTATAAGTGGAAGTCAGGAAAGTTCTGAAAAATAAGGTATGTGCCCCTACTTGTCTTAAAAAGACCTGTGTGAAATAAATGAGTATTAAGTGTTTTATACACAGGATATAGAACAGATGGGAAAATATATTAGAGATGAGTGTAGGTAAACATCTGTAACATCTGTAACAAGAAATATCTAACTAGCAACCTCTTTTGCTCTTTATAAAATAAATTTCAATATAAATAATACTTCCTAGTTTCTCCCTAGACATTTACCATGTTTTGCCTAACCTGCAAACTGTGACCAGAGTGGTGTTCCTAAGTCTGTAGAATAAAGAACGGAGTTTCCTTTGCCTTAACCTAGATTAGCCATATTCCATTGTATTTCAGCCAGCTTTTATTTAAACATTGTTTTTTATTATTTATTATTTAACTTAATGGCTGGTTCCATAAATCTGTGTGGCAGTAAGTGTGCTATTGGCACAAACTAGAGATTCAAATTCTGTCAGGGTGCTGACAATTATTTTAGAACCTACAATGACAAGATAGAGCAAATACTGGGTAATTGTAATGAATTTATTATGCACAGATATGCATCGCAAGAGGAGGCATAAGAGGTTTATAAAAAGAAAGGTGACTGGTTTTGTGATTAATTTTTTTTATTCAAAACCCCTTATTAAGTACTTATCTAAAAATCACTATCTTCCTTTATCAGTACAAACCAAATATCTTAGTAATACTTAGCTGTGCATTTAAAAATTCTGGAAATTTGGCCTGTGAAATAAAACTCCTTCTTATAGAATGCTCTTGACACCGTACTGTTCTAAGACAAGCATAAATGTTTTAACTATTATTAATTTTCTTACCAAAGTATTGAGATGATAATCTGGTCTCCATTAGACTAGGTCCTTAGACAATTGTATGAAATCACAGTTCCTCCTCTCAGTAACTCACGGTGTAAAAAGATAAATACTATTCAGAGTACCTGATGAGAAGAACATGATTTATCATGTATATAGTTTTATTTACATTGATATATGCTTACTCTTCTCTACAGTTAGCATACCATCAGTCTTTTCCTTCTCACCCAAGCTGTGACTGAGTTGTTGATTATTTATTAAACATAAATGTTCTAGAAATAATTTAAAGAAATAGTTTATTTCTCCATGTGATCTAGCAATAGATCTTTGCAAGTGTTAGTCAATGATACATCTGGTAGAAGGCAGCATCTTTTTGTATAACAGGACCTAAGTCAAAGTAGTACTATTGTTGCTCTGTTTTGCTTTTGGAGAAAACAGGCAGATCAGATGGTATGGGTTTAGTTTGGTTTTATTGTAAATTTGTGTGTGTGAAATTCTTGCAATTGTATTGTTAAGTGCAGGTCAGTGACACAGGCAAACTAAAAATCCCAAGTTACAGCAACCTTAGGGCATGCTCTTGGCAAACAAATTACATCTAACAGACAATATATTGTAGTATGTTACCACATTTCATTATTTTGCAGGCAATACCTGTATCTTAGAGGAAATACAGTTGGTATTTGCTGTCATTGGTCATTCACTGGTTTACATGTGTTTCTATCTGAAAAAAGGAAATGAAAAAATAATGCAGTATTGGAAAAACATCACTGCCTTGCTGGGTCTTGGGAGAGCAATGTGAATTTTATGTGCCGATCATGTATTTGTTTCTACAGCAGGTGGAGGGTTCAGAGCTCGTGTTGCCTCCAATGCAGCTCTATCTAGCAGTATAACTACTGCTCTGCCTTAACCAACAGTGGCTCACTTTGGGTGATTTTACTGTCCCTGCCAGATGCAATTTCATCAGGGCAGTTCAAAGAACAGCTACTGCTCAGTTACTGTGTTTTGCACTATTCCATTACTATTCCTATGTTCTCCGTATCGTGATTTACATGAATAGCTATAAATAGCTATCTTCTTGGATGACTTCATTTGTGCAATGATATTAAAATTGCTATGAAGCCCTACACTTAAGGGATTAATAAATTGGCACAAAATTTTTTCTTGTTTGAGGAAGAATAAAGATAGCAGGGAATTTGTACTACAAACTACACTGACAAATTAATCAAAAATTTTCCTCAGGAATTAATCCTGCTTTATCACTTCTTAACTGCTTAATGCTGAGAGTCTAGTCTGAAGTCAGCAGTAATACCAGTGACATTTATTGCATAACCAGCTAGTGTAAACTCTTCACCCTCTCACATTACTGTAAAACAGCTCTAGTGGATATAGAGCACTAAGGAAAAGGCACGTCTGCTGTCACAGCCTGTGTTGGGTGACCTTCAGGGCTTCATTCAAGACCTGTCCAGTTTTGTAGACTTTTGCCCAAGGGAGAAAGTTGAAGTTTGCAGGGTTTGTAACACTAAAGGATGAGCACCTCTTTTGGGATCAATCAGATGTTAATTTTGGTGTTTTGTTTTTTTTTTTTAATTTGTGCTGCAAGATTTCATCAAGTTACTAATTGAATTCCTTTTGCTGATGCCATGCACAATCACCAACTTAGCTAAAATTTATAACAATCAAGTGTTTGAGTGGAAAAAAATCAGATTTTGGAACTCCAAGAATTACTTTGTTCCGAAGTAGTTAGAAATAATTCATATTATTACTTACAGGTCATCTGAAGTAATTTGAAAGCATCAGGCTCTCTAGCAACTACTCTTTTCTGTATATTTTTATTTAAATATTCCAATTTTTCTGCTTTATTCTTAAATTCCTTGTCTTTATTTACTACACTTTTAATTTAGAATGTTGCTGGTAGAAACATATTCTGCTTGAAGTCTTGATCTGGGCTGGATTTGTAGTGCTGCAGTGATATACATAATTATTAAATACTCCGCAAAGCTTGGATTAAGAAGTTATTATATTCTCTCTATATTGGAAACCATGAAAAACTGTTAAATTCTCTAGTTCTGAATGAGTTTTTTGGAAGCAGACACAACAATCCTAGTTTCTCTCTGGAAGTCACAGACAGAATATCTGAGTCTCCTCTCAAAACCAGTGGCATAATTCCTTTAAAATTTAGTCAGAGACTGATCATGGGCTGCATTTTGAAGGAATATTGCCACTGGTTTTTGTGTTCAGTGTTTGAAGTAAAATCACTACTTGCTGCCACTCAGAATCTTCTCTACACATTATAATGAAGTAGTTTTGTAACCTCTTGGTTGTCTCATTCTCAGTCTGTACTGGAACCATTAACCATTTGTGTGTGTGTGTGTGTGTGTGTGTGCGTGTATAGGCCCACCTGTGCATACATGTGCATATATGCACACATAATTGTCAGTCTGAAAAGGTAAGTGAGAAACAGTGCAGATCCATAGGATGGTAATTTTGCATGCTTCCTACACCATTTTACCTGTCTTCTGCCTCGTGACCCATTTCCATAAGAGCTACTCAATTATTTAAAGTTTCTGAGCAGCACATTTCTCATAGGTTTTTTCCAAATTAGGTATTCAGAGAAAAATGTCTGTTTTTCTCCTTAAATTTGGACACCTAACAAACAAAAAATCATTCCTGCCTGAGGCCAAGGACAAGATGTACTAAGCTATTGACATATTTTATTGTACCTTAATGTATCATATTAGTAATTCCCTATCCTGTGTCTCTACAGAGAAAGAAACAGGAGGTCTTTTCACTGTAGTGGGTTGATTTCTTGCTTTCCAGTAAGGTAATGAGGACTTGATTCTATCATGGGAATGGCCCAGGGTGCTATTCTTTACAACATGACATTTCATGCAGAAAAAAGGGCCATTTCTTATACAGATGAAAGGGCAACAGCTGCAATTACAGTTACTAAAATTTGTTACATAAGCAAGAAACTGTGTAGTAAGTTGGGACATGAATTTAAGATATTACTTTCTTCACTTAAATTTACCCAGAAAGCATAAGTCTTTTTAAGCAAAGGATTAGAAAAGTTGCCAAAACCATTCCCTACTTAGTTTACAATATATTCATACATATATTTGTGAATATATTAGTAATTATTTGCAAATATCAATATTGAAAATAAGTATTTTAAAATATATTACTATTGGAATTACTTATTTTATTGTTTGGATAACTTCCTGATTCCCTTTTTTGCTTGAAAGCAATGCCATAAGAGTATTTAGAATGTAATATAGTGTATATGTATTTAGCATTTAAAAAAAAAAAGGGCATGCAGCCCCTTCTTTTTAGAGCTATGGGAAATAAATGTTGATTTATAATCTCATACATGGGACATGTCTGAAAAAATACAGACTTTCATTTTAAAATAACAGCAATAGGCTCAGTAACAGGCATGGACTGAACTGCAGACTCATGTCTTAGCTTTGGATTTAAGGGTCGAGATGTCGTTCTCTCTTTCATTTAATCGTCTTAAAAAACCTGTGGCTTTCAAGCCTTCTAGAAGATTGTACAGTGTGCTGTAGGAAAGTTTTATTTCTGCTTGCTTGATTGGATTACCTTGGGCAAGAAAAAAAAGGTCAGCGTATTGACAGCAAACCGGTCTTGAGGCAAGGTAAGAACATGTGACATCTGAGAGAAACGTGGTCGGGCTTGGTGGAAACAAACCAGATAGCATACATGAGGCTGTCATTTAGTGGTGTGTTGTTTTTGAAGCATCTTGGTAAGCATAATCTTTTTGCCAAAGTTTAAATGTTAGTAAATTTTCTTTTTAACATTCTTCCCATGATTAACATTTATTGCCCCTCCTTAAAATTTTAGGAGAAATAGTAAGGAAAAAAACTGAAATGAAACTTTAACAAACCTGTAGGTGTAGATTTTTATAATTACACTGAATAAAAGGTAGTTTTGAAGTGGATGACAAGTTTTGCTGTTGATTTTGTTGAAAGTGAAATTAAACCCAAAAGTTAGGGCATTGAGAGTTATGATTTTGCTGCTTCTCAGATTTCTATGTGCAACTATATAATTCCAAACCTCTGAGCTGCTCTTGTTCTCTATTAAATCACCCTTAGTAAACAAAGAAAACAATTTCTTTTGGACTTGTAGCAAGCAAAACGGGCATTATCAGTTTCCTGTGCCCTTGGACTCAAAGTGCAAAACGGCACTCAGTGTTTCACAGCCTGATCTGTCCTATCTGTGGTTAATTTTTGGATTATTGATAAATATCAAAGCAATTATTGTATGCTGGGGCTATAATAGTATTTTCACGGACACATCATCCCTAGAAACCACTGCTGCCTTAGTTGTTTTTAGGGAGTCTGTCTCTTAAGGGAAATACTGGATATGGGTAAAGTCAGTTAATTACTTTCTGAAAGGTAGGAAAAGCTAATGCTCTACAATTTGTTAATTAGTGCACATGTAGGCACATTTTTGTGAGTGATACAGTGGAGGAAAACTTTTCTCTGGTCTTCCTATGGAGAAATACTATGCAAAAATAAAAAGACTAATTTTCAGATTTGATTGATCTACATTCAGAATTGCCAATGAGAAGCTCAAGATGTAGACAACTGCAGAATCCAGTTCTTGGCCCCGTATTCGTTTGGCTTAGCTGTGCTACCTGACCTATGAACATAGCCTCCACAGGTTACTTTTGTGATCACTACAGAGAAATAGGCATTTTTATAAAATAGATTCATTGAGTTTGGAAAAGATACTTAAGATCATCGAGTCTAGCTGTTAGCCTAGCACCTCCAGCTCCACCACTAAACCATATCCTTATGTGCCACATCTATGCAGCTTTAAAGTACCTCCAGGGATAGTGACTCAAAGCACTTCCCTGGGCACGCTGTTCCAATGTTTGACCACCCTTTCAGTGAAGAAATTTTTCTTAATATCATAGCTAAACCTTCCCTGGTGCAACTTGAGGCCCTTTCCTCTTGTCCTATCCCTTGTTACCTGGGAAAAGAGACCAACACCGACCTGATAACAGCTTGCTTTCAGATAGTTTTAGAGAGCAATAAGGTGCCTCCTGAGCCTCCTTTTCTCCAGACTAAGCAACATGGGCTCCCTCAGCCTTTCCTCATAGCTCTTGGGCTCCACTCTTCACCAGCTCTATTGCCCTTCTCTGGACATGCTCCAGCACCGCAATATCTGTCCTGTACTCAGTGAGGGGCCTAGAACTGAAAATGGAATCTGAGGTGGGGCCTCACAATGGATGATCACTGTCCTTGTCCTGCTGCCCACATTATTGCTGAGAAAGGCCAGGATGCCACTGGCCTTCCTGGCAACCTGGGCCAACTGCTGGCTCATGTTTAACCGGCTGTCAACCAATACTCCACCAATATTTCTTTCTTGTAAGGATTAATCCTCTCCTGACCTGAAACGGGGCAAAATTAATCAGAGCTATCATCTGAAGCAATAGGCTGGTAAAATTTGAAAAACCATCTCCTGTGCTTTTATTGCTATACCCTGAATACTTACTGCAGTGTTGCCTTTTCTAACACCTGGAATTACGTCAGGTTGTGTGAGAGTGACAACCTGATGACATTTTGCATGGGGTCACCTTTCAGACAGAGGTAATTAAAAGTTACTCTTTTTCTATGCCACCAAGCAAAATGAAATGCGTATTCAACAGTTAATCTAGTCTGTGAATATTTCATTTGCTCCCTCTCTGCTCAGGTCAGTATGTAGGTATCACGTGTGGTTCCAAAGCGGTACATAAGGCAAATAAGCTATTAAGTGAGGCTTACTGTTATTTATAGAAAAGTTACCGGCACTGCAGCCAGAGACACTGTTAACATACGTGATTCATAGCAGATTTTTCTGGGTTATCTTTTCAATAAGACAAGGTATAATTTTAACTTTCAGAGAATTACAATATTGGTTAACTACTTAACCCAATTGTTCATTAATTAATTTTTTACTACCCTTCCGTGTGCACGTCTGAACATTTACAATAAGTGAATTACATTGTATAGAGCTCTTAAAATAACAAGGAAACCCTTGCTAGGATTCTGCAACTCCGGCTTCCAATGAAAAAAGAGTGATTAATTATGAAAATCCAGATTACGTTCTTCCTGCCCATCTGCTTTTAACTGTTTTTAGACGTTTGTTCTTCAGATTTAAATGGTAATTATTATTTTCAAAAATTTCACAACACAGTGAAGGAATAGAGCCTGCTGTAAGGACAGATGTGTACACACAGGCCTTAACAAAAGGAAATCACTTTGCAGTCATGGCTCATTCAGAATTATTGGTTGAGTTTGGGCAAGTAATTTATTTTACAGTGTCTCAGATCTCCTCAGACTTGCAAAATCCTATGCCTGTCTTATTAATTTGTGGAAAAAAACCCAACCCCCGAATGCCCTTGGAAGTCACTCCATTAAAATAACCGGTGCTACAACATCTGTGTGTAGCATTTCACTCATTAAATATAGAGCATCATCTGTTTCTTCCTCTTTAGTAGTTCTGACCATCACCCTTTTTTGACACTGTCAATGAATTGTCAAAGTAATGATTATCGCATCATCATATATCAACATAAGGGTAGAAGAATAAGGCCTATGAGAAATGTCTTTTTAAAAAGGCAAAATTCCTTCCATTGAGGATTTGATGCCACACCTCATTGTTATACCTATGTTACTTCATGTTAATCAGTGATTTTGTACCAAAGATACCACTATCCATTTGCCATGGAAAATGAAAAATTTACTGTCTTGCCTTCACTGAGCACACCTCTGAGACATGAGTACATTCTTTCTAAGTGTAGAGGATGGGGTGTGGAGGATTGGCCACTGCTAAGCCTTAGTCCATGCTCCCTGACCTCTTCTAGGGCCAACTCTGGTTGCAGTTTGTTCACCAAGCCTCTTATATCAAAGGAAGAATAAGCAAACCCAGCAGGTTTTGGTTAAGGAGCTGACTTACCTGATTTCCTAATATCTAGACATTTCTGTTCTGATGTGTCGGGTTTGTCAGATGCTGTCAGGGACTGAGATCATTGCATAACCGTTTCCTTAAGTTTGGGCCAAGAAATCCTTTCTGGCAGCCTGTGAAAGACCACATAGCAGAATACTTCCTGATATCAAGAGCAGAAGGATCTCTTCTTTCAGCTCCAAACGTCAGCTTGGGATTGCGCGTTGCAGAGAGCTGACCAGATGCATGGGGCTGGCTTTCTATTTACAGTAGATGGATATTGGCATTGTTGGTTTTAATGAGTTTTGGATAGATTCAAAGAGCTAAGGAACTTTATGTAATTGCAGCATACTCTCTGCAGAAAGTGCTGACCATTATGATGTTGCTTGTTATCAAACATGGTGAAAAAGGGAAGCAGGACTTTGTAACTCTTGATGACACCCTGTACCTTGCTGACTTTTTGTATTAGAGAGGGGCTATATTGCCTGATATTAACCCCTCTAACAAGAAAAACTTTGACAGAAATATCAAAGCCTTTCTAGTTTTTCTAGGCTTGAGAAAAATAGAGCCGTTACTATAGGATGCCGGTTGATAGAGAACTTCTGTCTTCTTTAAGCTGACTTCCACCCAAAGAGCTCAGCAGCATCTGCAAAGCAGGATGTTAAACGCTGCAGGGCTGCTTCTGTGTGGGCAACAAGGGCGGCGTCATCGGCATAAAGCAGCTCCCGGACAAGATGGTCTAAGGTCTTAGTGTGGGCCTTCAGTCACCTCAGGTTGAAAAGGCTTCCATCAGTACGATATCGAATGTAGATACCGTCCTGATCCTCGAGGTCTGCCGTGGCCCTTTGGAGCATCATGCTGAAAAAGATTGTGAATAGGGTTGTTGCGAGAACGCAGCCTTGTTTCGCACCATTGGTTATTAGAAAGGGCTCAGAAAGTGCATCACCATATCTGACTTGGCCGTGCTGATCCTCATGGAGTGAGATGATCATTTTAAGGAACTTGGGAGGATATCCTAAACATTCAAAAATCTGCCACAGACCTTTCCTGCTCACAGTATCGAAAACCTTGGTGAGATCAACAAAGGTTACATAGAGACCTTTGTTCTGTTCCCTGCACTTCTCTTGCAGTTGTCTGAGAACCAATACCATGTCTGTGGTACTCCTGTTGGCTCTGAAACCACACTGGCTTTCAGGTAGTAATTTGGAGGTAATGATTTTTTTTGTCACACAGGTATGGCCACCTCCTCGGCATTCTGTCCTGGCTCAGCTCTCAGGACATCTCTGGGTTTTTTTTGGCTCCTTTCTCTCTCTCTCTCTCTCTAGCTGCTGCTGCATTTCGGGACTCCCTAAGGGTTTGGAAGTCCACCCCTCCTCTTTCAGGGAGTCTCTGGGTTTTGGGAAAGTAATACAGTCTTACCCCAAACCAACTCTGTTGAGTTTTCCTCTGTTTTGTTGCCAGCTCTCCCTCCTGCAGGAACATCTCTGCGTCTTTCAGCCGGCTTCACGTTATCTCATTGCTACTGGCTATCTTTTGGCTTTTAGCCACCCCTGTCTCTGTTCAGGACTGCTCCGCTGCCGCTTTCAGTGTCTTCTGCTGCTGCTGCCAGTAAGGAAACTCTTCCAGCTCCTGATTACGGGACCCGGTCCAACTTTGACACTATACTGGGTCTCCCGTAGCCTCAGCTGGGGGCTGGGGGCCCTTGGCCCCCAGAGGGGCTCACTGGCCCCCTGCCTCCTAGTGGCTCAGATCATGGCTACCTCTCTTCTAAAAACTATCTTCACCACCTTCTCTTCTGTTTCTATGGGCATGTAATTTCCATAGGGCGCACGTGGACTATTGATTGGTCCAGTATTATCAGTGGGGCAAACCATTACTACCTCAAAAAAAAAAAGGTTTTTCAAACCACCACACCAGGATTTTGCCAGCAATGGAGAACAGAGTAATACCACAGTAATTTGAGCAGTCTGATTTGAGCCTTCCATCATCCCCATATCACCATTGGCCAATCAGAGCTCAAATCAGTCCAGCAGTTTAATTACCTAGGTAACCTCATCTCCTCAGATGGTAAGATTGATGGAGAGATAGACAACAGGTTGGCAAAGGCATATAGCGCCTTCGGAAAGCTTCATAAAAGAGTTTGGCGAAATAAACACTTGAAGAAAAGTGTTTACAGAAAAAAAGATCAGTGTTTACAGAGCCATAGTGCTGTCCACTCTCTTATATGGATCTGAATCATGGGTCATCTACCACCACCACCTGCGACTCCTAGAACGCTTCCATCAATGCTGTCTCTGTACAATCCTAAACATCCACTGGTCAGATTATGTGACCAATACATCTGTTCTAGAACAAGCAGCAGTCACAAGTATTGAGGCCATGTTGCTGAGAACACAGCTGCATTGGGCAGGACACGTCTCAAGGGTGAAGGACCACCGCCTCCCTAAGATCTTGCTTTATGGTGAACTTGCCACCGGCTGCCGCAAGAGAGGAGCCGTGAAGAGAAGATTCAAGGACTCCCTGAAACAACATCTCAGCCTTGGCCATATTGACCACCATAACTGGTCTACTCTGGCCTCCAATCAGGAGGTCTGGAGACACACTATGTATAACGCTGCTGATGCTTTTGAGAATGCACACAGGATCACTCTCGAGGAGAAAAGACAACGCAGAAAGAATTGTGCCTTGCAGAATATACCACCTAAGGAGTCTTTCTGCTGTGCCTTTTGCAACCGGACGTGTCTATCTCGTATTGGCCTTTTTAGCCACCAGTGCACTTGTAGCGAATGTGGGTAGAGCCCTTCCCAAATCTTTGTTCGCGAAGCCTAGCCATGACAGTGACTATAGGATACAGAACTATTACTATAGGTACTGTGCTCCTGATGTAAGAAGCTTACTTAAGTTTATGAAATTACTTGGGATTAATATAAAACTCAAAGTTAAGTGGAAGTGCTAATTTCTATGATCAGAAATATATATGGAATATATCTGTGTTTATGAATTCTACTTTTGGTAAAATACTGCACCATTTCCTGTGGAAAATGCTGGTGCCTTATTTATTCTACTTCCAAAACACAGTGCTGCTATAGACAAAGTTGTTTGTCAGCTGGGTGAATTTATTCCTTGTAAAATACATGAAAC